TTTGTTTAGATTTTGGTCGAGGAGGAAATGGAATAAACTTCATGACAAGATCAAATCTTCTATTGAAGACATATTTTTATGTAAGATGTCGTAATCGTATGTGGGTCTCCAGTCAAGAAATGAAATAATTCCATGACATTCCCTTTTGCAAAAGTTCAGAACCTAATTGATTTGCCCTTCAGTTAATAAATGTAAGAACTGATAATTGTAAATCGCTTGCCCACGGAGGTCGGACTTTTTGCTTATATGATCTGATACGTTCAACTTCATTTGGACCAACATCATGAACTATTTTTAATTCAAAAAGCCGTTGATCATAACTACCAAAGTGCATTAATAATTTTGTATAAAATATCTCGACAATACACCATTTTTCGCGATGATTTCTTGAGCTGTTGGAACATCAAGAAAACCAAGACCTAGACGGATAGGGTCAATAACCAAAATAAAAATGAGGTTCTGAAGCTCATTCGTTTATGCAACAAAAATATATCTGATAGTCAATTCATTTACGTTCTTTGGAGATTGAGGCAAGGTTAATTTTGTTCGTTATAATTGCCGTCTTTGATAGATTTCAATACAGTATTGCTTGAATTTCGTTTTTTGGTAGTTGGATCCAGGATTTTGTTAATTGAAATATCATTAGCAGATTTCAAATTTCGCTCAAATGCTTCCTCTTCCTCTTCTTCCTCTTCTTTTTTCATTTTTTGTAGATCATCTATTTTTTTTTACTGATTCAAGAAGCAAAGTTTTAGTCATTGTAGTTTTATTTATTTCTATTGTTTATATTTTTGTATTAAAATAAAATTTTCATCTGTATATGGGATTCTTCCTCATGAATAGAGAGGTATTTTATGCAAAAGTTTGTAGATAAAATGAGTGGCATAGGATCGCGATATTCAGTTACACAATTTTAATGTATCGCAATTTACTATATAGTATTCTTTGGAACCTTTAGTATAGTTAAATAACTTTGCGTAATGCATCACAATTTACTAATTTTATTTGCGAAACCTTTAAATTTAAAGTGTAATTAAATAACTTTGCGTAATGCATCACAATTTACTATCACAATTTACTAGTATTCATTTAAAACTTAAATGTAGTTAAATAACTTTGCGTAACGCAAACCTGTTTTTAACACAACCTTGCGCAATGCAAATGCAAACCTGTTTTAGTCACACAAATATATATAACAAGAATCAGAACAAACACAAAGGTTTTATGATAATTCCGAGATGCGTTAGCTTTGTCATTCACAGAACACAGCCATATCACAATATCATTAATGAGCCGTAAACCCGGAGCTTGAAACATATAACTTGAAATTAGAACAAACTTGTTTCCGCTTATTCACATACGGATCAGAATATTATTGATTAATCTCCGTGATCTTGAATTTGGACACTTGTTTCCGTTAATCCCCAAAATAGTGATCGGAAGATAATAGTGATCGGGAGATAATTTTGTAGCCTGTAATTTTACTGATATTCACGTACGCAGGCGGATGATGAAAATAGAAATTCATGATATTTGACATCATGTGTTGCAAATAATAAGTGCACTGTTAAATTTCGTTGGTTATACTTCCATATAGAACGCGCCAAATTTTGTTAGAAATATTTGATAAATAATATATAAAAATTTGGCCCAATTCGAATTGCTAATCGTTTAGAAACAGCAAACATCTACTAACCACCATTTTTTCCGTACTGTTTTATTTATCTTTTGGTATTGAATTAGCATATTTAACAATTGTTTTGTAGTTGGTCAATTTGAGATTTAATATCTAACATTTTGACAAGTGATTTTTTGCAATTGGTCAATTTGAGATTTAATATCTAAACATCTTGATAGGTGATTTGTTGAACACAGATGAGAACTTAACGGAGAATATTTAACTTATAAAAAGAAGTCATATTACTATTACGTAAACACGAGTATAGGAATCTGAAGAAAATATAAAGATAAAATAAATCGGATATCAAATAATATACTTTTCAAGATTAAGAAATGTTATAAGTGTTATAAATATTCTTTAAAGACCATATGAGGGGCAAAACATTCATTTTTGATACACCTGCACCTATTTTTTTGATACACTTAAATGTGCCCTTACTTTTTTTGAGATACGAGGAGATATGATGATTCTAAAAAAATCACGTGACCGCCGCACTTAAAATTGACCAATGGGATT